CCCCAAAACCCCAAAACCCCAAAACCCCTATGATATTCAATCTTACGAATTAAGGCGATCTAAAAATAAGAAATAATTAATTTGATCGATTTATAATAAATCCAAAATGTTTCAAAATGATTTAAATTATGAGTAAGACCCCTCACTCATACAAAAGCATCAATTGATGAATTCGATGCCCCAGTCCTCCTCTTTAGATACGAGGAAAACTTCTGCTTACCATTCTATTCTCGAGAACCACTTATCAAACAAGAGTAGCGAGTCTAAAAATTTTGTGATCATAGATGAATTCAGATAATAAACTCTCTGGTATCGAAGGTAAATGTTTCAATAGAAACAGTAAAACAGCATCAGCAGAATCAATCAATATAATGCCTCATCAGTCAGCTATGATTTGCAGCAAGTCAATTCCAAACATGAAGCGGGCTAAAGCATCATACTAAATCCTAGGGAGCCTTAGTATCAGTCCTAGTTCTCAGCTGATGTAAGATCACGAATCCCTCCACCACTAAGTGGCTCAGAGAATCAGCAACTATAGATTTAACAGGATGATCTTCCAAAGTAGTTAATGGATATAAGGTATATGAATAGCAACAATAAAATTGGCTCTTCATACAAGCAAAACTACTATAATTAGGCCACTAACAATCTCGATGATTTCACAGGAAGGAAGTATTTTAATTATGATGAAATTGATTTGAGAGAGCAAAAAAGCAAAAGTTTTGTGCTTAATCGAAGTATTTAAAAAAGCAAGAAGGAGCTAATTAGAGAGATTAATAATCAAGCGATGGAGCCTTGGAACGACGACATGAATGATGAGTATTTGCATATATTCTCAAGAGATGCTGAGAACTAGCTGCAAAAAAAAAAGGATTTGAAGATCATTACTAAAAATATTGAGTAACTTAACAAATAAATAGAAAAGTAAAACTAAAACTAAAATTAAAAATAAGAACATGAGATTATAAGTAACAATTTATCAAAAGTTAATACAGTTGTGGTAAGCAGCTCCCTTTAATATGAGATCGATGATACCCAGTTGAATACCTATGATGGAACTTAGCAGCATAATAGTGTAAAGAAGTAAGCTGTATCTGCTCCCAAGTTGTAATCTATTAATTAAAGCTTGACCTAGCAGCAGCTTAAGCATAAAGTAATCAAGCCAGCCATAATTTAGATTCAGACTTCAAGTCCAAGAAAAACCAGAGTATTTGAGGAGATCAAACAGAACTACTATCCAACTTTGGAAGAAGTAATGAAGCAAGGTAAAGAGTCAACTGGAAGGTCTAAGATAAGAAGAACTCTCACTACTACAACTTCGCCCTAGAAGCTATATCGTAATTACAATCATCAGCAGACTCTGAATAAGTCTCCAAGTGTAGAGCCGTAATTTGAGGTTCAGCCTTATAAGGAAGCATCTCTGTAATTTGGATAGAAGCACATCCGTAATATTGTAGAGCAACTTAGCCTTAATGCTTCACAATCCTCTTTAGTAAATAAGTTAAAAAGTAGATCATCTTCAATGAATGAAAACATACAGGAGATCATGTAAAATAAACTAAAGACTTATAAAAATAAGAGAAAAGTTTTAAAGAAGGGCAAATCCTTGGTATCAAATGAGCATTTATAGTCAAAGCACTCTATAACTATCCAAGCTAAAAATAGAGCTATTTTGAATGATATTTAATCTAAGTACTAGGATATTTCACTTACTCCTTAAAGGGGGGATTAGGACTTGAAAAACTAATTAGGCAACAAATCCTAGAGATCTTTGTCTACAGAAAATCTGAATAAGAGTAAATTAAACTATAGTAAAATACGCAGGCAACAGTATTAAGATATAATCAAGCAGAGCCAAAAATACCTTCCTGAATACGACTCATAAAAGTCCTAATAGCTTTTAAACATTGGTAACTACTATGAGAAAGTCTAAGAGAACAAAAGCCTCTATCAGCATTCACTTTAGGATATTGGACCTCTAAGAAATCTGATAAAGAATAAAATCTCACATATAATTGATTTATCTAAGATACCCAATCATCAAACTCTGGATATTACTTAATACCTTAAATCCATAAATGTAAAAAGTGGTAATACCATAGATCCAAATTCATAACAGCATTCTTAAGACTAGGAAAAAAAGAATAAGTTCAAAATAAACAATAAAGTACCTGTGATATAGCAGTCTCAAGGTAAAATAGACATTTAGACTCTTGAACAGATACAAAAAACTGACACATTATTTGCTAAGAGTATTTATTTAAGCAAGTAATATAGAATGAAGTTCGGAGGAGGTTAGAATAAATTATCATAAGATGGAGGGGCTGGAAATGAAAATGAGATTGAGTCTAGCAAATAAAGTAGGAAACTTAGAAATGCCAGTATTCTGCAACCTTCTCACAGTCTTAGCACCTCATTACCACAATTAAGTAATGCCTATAAAAATTAGAGTAGACTTTCTACCAAGTATATTTGATTTGATAAGCTTATGATTTAAGTCATATTTATATGAAACTAACTTACGATAATTCATGATTTAATCAAGTAAAGTTAATTTCATGATATAACATTGAGTAATATGATGATGGATTCGGGGGTTTTGGGGTTTTGGGG